CAGTATCCCCTGGATATGAGACAAGGAGTCAAAGGAGATTTTGGAGCTTTAAGATTTAATGACTGCCCTACCTGGTTTTGAACTTGAAAAAGGCCTATGGCCCCTTTGTTTTGGCCAATTTCTCCCATTTTGAATGGGAACATTTACCCAATGCCTGTACCCTCATTGCATCTTGGAAGTAACTAACTTGCTTTTGCTTTTACAGGCTCACAGGCAGAAGGGACCTGCCTAGTCTCAGATGAGAGTTTGGACTTGGACTTTGGGTTAATGTTGGAATGAGTTAAGATTTTAGGGAACTGTTGGGAAGGCACAATGGTTTTTGAAATGTGAAAAGAACATGAGATCTGAGAGGGACCACGGGCAGAATGATATGATTTGGCTCTGTGTCCCCACCCAAATCTCATCTCAAATTGTAATCCCATGTGTTGAGGGAGGAATCTGGTGGGGGGTGATTAGATCATGCAGGCAGTGCTAGTTTCCTGTGCACACTGTCTCTTTCTCCTGCTACCTGGTGAAGAAAGTGCCTCCTTCCCCTTTGCTTTCTGCCATGATTATGTGTTTCCTAAGGCCTCCCCAGCCATGAGGAACCATGAGTTAATTAAACCCCTTTCCTTGATAAATTACCCAGTGTTAGGTAGCATCTTTATAGCAGTATTAAAACAGACTAATACAGCTATAGAATTCTGGATTGATATTTTTGGAGGGCATTGGAAAAATTTTGTACAACTTCTTTAGCCTGTCTAGTTTATGACAAAAAATCTGCTATCATTTTAATTATGTTTCCCCTATAGTTAAAGTGATGTGCCTCTCTCACTACCTTCAAGATTGGTTCATTGTCTAGTATTCAAAACTAGTTTTAGTTTGATTCATGTGAATTTCTGAATTTCTTTGAGTTTATCCTGATTACGGTTCCTTCAGCTTTTTGAATCTGTAAGTTTATGTCTTTTGACAAATAAATGTTATCCTGTGTTTTTTTTTGTTTATTTATTTTTGTTTTTTGTTTTTTTTAGCTCCCTCTCTTCCTCCTCTCTTAGCACTCCAATGAAACAAATGTGGGATCTTTTGTTACAGTCCCACAGGTCCCTGAGACTCTGTTCATTTTTTTTCTCAATCTATTTCTCTCTGCAGTTTGGATTGGGTAATTTCTACTTTTTTATCTTCAAATTCAATGATTCTACCTCTAGCAGCTCCATTTAGCTGATTTTTTTTTTAAGTTATTCTATTTTTCAATTCTAAAAATGTCCATCTTGTTCTTCTTTGTAACTTCTGTTTTTTGCTGTCACCTCATCATTGGCCCTGTTTACTGTCTTTTCCTACTCATATAGAGATTTTTCTAGTTCTTAGTATTATGAGTGATTTTCTCCAGAAATGTGAACTTTTAGGTATGATGAGACTCTGGATATTATTTAAATCTTCTGTTTTAGCAAGGCTTCTGTGACACCACTCTATTGAGTTAAGCAGGGTGATGCCTCACTACACAGTGGAGGTAGAAGTCCAGATTCCTCTCTCTGCCTCTGTGTAGAGTATTGAGTATTGATGAAATGAGTATTGAGGAGTATTGATGAAATGAGTATTGATGAAAATATTCTCATTGCTGCTGGGTGGGGGTGGAAGTTCAAACTTATCACTAGACCTTCCCTGATCCCAACCTTGCTGAGAAAGGCAAGGGTACCTCATTACTGCTCCCAAGTGACCTCTATCATCTCCACACCATGGTAGAGTGTGGGGTGGAAGTGACTTCTTTACCTCCAGGTGGTGGTGAAATTCCTGAGTCTCCATCAGGCCACCTCTGTCACCACCCCATCAGAGAAGGGTTGTGGCATCTTAGTACCACTTGTGATAGTAGAAGTTCAGGCTCCCCCCATGGACTCCATTAACACCATGCAGGGGTGTAGGGGGAAGGGATGTGTTATCCCCCAGTGGAAATGAAAGTCCTGGCTCCCCAGTCAGCCTCTTCTGACACAAAACAGGGAGTTATGGCACTTTGTTACCAACAGGTGGGGGTGACAGTCTAGTCTCCCCACTTGAGCTATAGTATAAAGGTTGGTGTAGGGCCACAGTATTTTTCTGTGGTGTTTGGCTGTAATAGAGCAGTTATTGACTAAAAGTTTACTCTATTTCTAGTTGACTCTTTTCCTGTTCCATTGGCTAGAGATAGTAGACATTTTTTGAGGTTTTATTTGGTTGTATCACTTAGCATTTCTGGACTGCTGGCTTCTCCCTCACCTGTTCTGCAATATGTCAAGCAAAGAGCAAACTTTGAGTCTTGAGGTTGCTAGCTGCTCTGCCTTCTTATCTTTAACTTTCAAAGCCTTCTTATGTTTGTTTTATACAGAGTTTCCAAGAGTTTTAACCATAGGTAGCAAAATGAATAGGGAAAACTTTTTCTACTCCATCTTTCTGGAAGGAAGAGCTGTATTCACTTTTGAAATGATTAATTCAATACTATATCCATTTGATAATTCTAAACATTAACAGCCAATTTTTGTCTTTGTTTCAGAGAGATGTTGGTTTTACTCCAAAATACTTTATATTGGAAAAAAAAAATGCTAAACCTAACTATAAGTTGAGTCTAATAGGAATTTGGTATGACAGTGCTATTCTCCTAGGATTGAATCCATTGCTGTTACTTGCTTTCCTATAAAAGCAAAATTAAAAGCAAATAAGCAAACAAAACAAATCTAGAAGTTATATTTTTGCAGTATTATAATTTAAATTTAATTAAATACATTTCTAAATTTGGCAAGCTAAACATAAAGCCTTAAAAATTTGAGCAAAATTGTTCCAAGTGAAAACCTGAGCTTGAAGCCAAGAATGCACTAACCATTGTTCTTGAAATGTACAAATGGATACAAATCAGCATACAAATGTCCTGATGAAATTCTTTTTGTGTTCTAGAAGCTTATTCCTGGAACATATATAAATGTGAAAGATGCACAGAAGCGAAAAACATGAACTGTAATTGAAGTTAATTTGAACAATACTTATACAGATCTGTGAGGAGCACATTATTATTATGCTAATATGAGCAAACTGAAAATGACAACATATTTGTTATCACTTAAACTGGATCAATCTTATGAAACGAATCTTTCTTTAGTCCACTCCAAAGACATGAAAATTTTAACGTTTTATATTCTTTATTTCCAAATAATTTTCTTGACTCACTCACTTACTCAGTAAATATGTACTCTGTGCCATATTATGTCACTTCAGTTGTGGAGACACTGCTTTATGACAGTGGTTTTCAATCTTTAGTGGCAAGAGGAATCACCTGGAATGCTTTTTTGTAGTCACAACCCCTCAGTTTATTCCCAAAGATACCGATTTAGCAGTCTCAGCTTGGGCCCAAGAGTCTACAGTTTTAAGAAATTCTTCATATAACTCTCATTCTTATTTGTATACTGGTCTGCAAACTACACTATAAAATCACTGTCCTATATGATCTTCGTAGTTCCCTCTGGTTCTCATATTCTTTTTCTCTCAGCATTTAGGTCACTGAACTTTTCTTCGTTAACTTTTAAGTTCAGAGACACAAGTGCAGGTTTGTTGCACACATAAACTTATGTAATATGAGCTTGTTGTACACATTATTTCATCATCCAGGTATTAAGCCTAATATCCACTAGTCGTTTTTCCTGATCCTCTCCCTCCTTCCACCCTCCATCCTCCAAAAGGCCCCAGTGTGTGATGTTTCCCTCTATGTATCTGTGCATTCTGATAATTTATCTCCAACTTAAAAGTGAGAACATGGGGTATTTGGTTTTCTGTTCCTGTATTAGTTTGCTAACCATAATGGGCCTTCAACTTCATCCATATTTCTGCCAAGGACATGATCTTGTCATTCTTTATGGCTCCATAGTATTTTATTATATATATGTATCACATTTTCTTTATCCAATCTATCACTGATGGGCATTTAGGTTGATTCCATGTCTTTGCTACAGTGCTGCAATGAACATATACATGCATGTGTCTTTATAAAAGAATGATTTCTATTCCTTTGGACATATGCCCCGTAATGGGATTGCTGGGTCGAATGGTATTTCTATTTTTACATCTTTGAGGAATTGCCACACCGTCTTCCACAATGCCTGAACTAATGTACACTCCCACCAACAGTGTATAAGCATTCTTTCTTCTCCATAGCCTCACCAGTATCTGTTATTTCTTGATTTTTTAACAATAGCCATTCTGACTAGTGGGTCACTGAACTTTTAAAGGAACCCTGTAACTTCTAGGAATGTTAATGAGCTTATCCAGCCAACTATCAAATAACCAACCTATTCTAGAAGGATGTATTTTCCAAGCAGAAATTTCAGTCATTCCTGGAAATTTTTAAAAATCCTGTTTATATCCGGCTGGACATCCTGAAACCATTCAAGGATGTCTACCTCTGTGAGAGCTACACATGGGATTCTCTATCACCTAGAGCCATCAGAAAAATCATTTCATTGAAATGCCTTTAACATGCTTATATTCAATATAGAAGCAATATAAATTGTTTGTATCTTTCTTAAAATTTATATAAGAAGGTCTTTGGTTAAAAGAATTCTGTAGTTTTACAAGTTGTATTTAGTTTATTTATTGCTCTATTTAATGTGTTTATGCAGTTCAGGTTGAATCTCAGTATAGTTATAGATAAGCACCAATCATACTAATAACTGTAAAATAATAAGCTATCATTGACTACACTAAATTACATTATAGCAAAATTTTAGCCAAATACTAGTATCTTGCATATCAATGATCAGCATATCTGAGTTTATTTCACAGGGAGTCTCAAGACAAATCAAACATCTATTTGTTCCCTTAAAACATTTAGAAAAGATCCAATATTAAAACTGCATTAAACATGGAACTTGCTTTAGCTACTAAAAAATGAATAAATTAGAGGACAAACTAGAAGGTATTATAAGTAGGTAAGTACAAAGACTTAACCTTATCTTGATTTTTTATTCTGACTTATAAGGAAGCTAATACATATATATTTAACTTACCTCACTCATTTGGAAAGAGTAGTCTATATGTTTATTGGCGTGTTCCCCTAAATTAAATAAGAAAGAGAAAAACATGTTAAATTAGCCAACTGATCAGAATGTGTTCAGAAGTCTGTGTAATGAAAAAATATGAATTGAATGAATTAAAAAATTCAAAGGAAACACACTAGAAGAAAAGATGCAAGGTTATTCAGGAGCTAAATTGTTTAAAACAGACTCCAAAAGAAGTCTTACCTAAAACTGCCTATAAAAGGAAAAGCATATAATACTGATGTGTAAAATGCAATCTCAATTACTGAGAAATAAACCCAACTCTGATCAATGCAGTTATCAATCTATAACCACAAAACCACTAAGAGTAAAATACCCAATAAGGTGTCCATTGATATCTCTTAATTCTCACCATGTGAGATTTAATATTCTCTTGGCTTATTTTCCTGATGTCAAACCAGACAGGTTGCATGTAGAACACTATCAGTTTCTGAATAGGTCAAAGTACTTTCCGGACATACAGATAGCCCCGTAATGGTTATGCATTTGGTCGTTTGCACTAAAATACATGTTCAGATAAGTTTATGACACTAAAAAAGTTAAAGATAGAACTGAAATTCTTATTTTCTAGTGGTTCCAACTTGAAAAAGCCCTAAGATATATTTAAACCAAAAACTTCATATATATATATACACACATACACACACACACACACACACATATATATATGAGAAAATATCACAATGGGAACCGCATAAAATGCTAGCACTTTAAGTACAAGTTAGTGACTATAATTTTAGAAATAGGATAGAAAAACTGGTGAATGAAACTGAACAGAGCCCAGAACAAGACACTTTATTATATGGAAACTTGATATTGAACCATTGTAGGGGTTGATTAATGTCTCTCCTACACCCAAATTCATGTCCATCTCAAACCTCAGACTGAAACCTAATTTGTAAATGCAGTCTTTACAGATGTAACTAGTTAAGGACCTAGAGATGAAGTTATACTGGATTTAAGGTGGGCCCTAAATCCAGTGATGGATGTCCTCCTAAGAAAAGAAGAGGGAACAGAGGCTCAGAGGAAGGCAATGTGAAGATAAAAGCAGAAATCAGAATGATGTGTCTACAAAGCCAAAAAACACCAAGTATTTCAGGTGCTATAGTCTGAATGTGCTCATGGTGCAGAGCTCTTGTGAATGGTAATAGAGTCCTTATTAAAGAGATTCCAGAGAGCTGCCTTCCCACTTCCATCATGTGAAGACACAGTAAGAAGATGTCATGAATGAGCCAGGAAACAAGCCCTTACCAGACACTGAGTTCCGTACCATGATCTTAGACTCCACAGCATCAAGAGCTGTGAGGAATAAATGCTTGTTCTTATAAGTAAAAAATAATAAAATAAAGCAATTGTATAAATCCAAAAAATATTTTAAAAATCTACTATTTGTATAGCTTATTCACAACCCAAGTATAATAGTCCAATTCCTTTTCATAGATCACACAAATCACTCAGTTATTCTCTTAAATAATTAAGCCCATTATATATATTAATTTATACTTGACAGAAATTCAACTATTATAGGTTGGCTAGGGAATAAGGTCCAAAGTTTTCTGCAGAGGAATATTTTGATTTTTGATTTGTACATTGGTTAAAACAAGGCTTGGATGTGAAAATAAACACTGATTTGCAAGAAAGCTTTATTTTATTTATAATTTTATTTTATTTTAAAAAGCAGATTTATGGTTCATAGCTTTGTTGGTATAAGATGGGGTTATTCTTGATATAAGTTTTCTCCCTTTGGCAAATAGTAAAACTCTTTAAAATTAACTAAAACCAACCTATGTCTCCAGCCTCACCCTTTTGCGCTCTTAAGTCTGGCCTACTAGTCTCCTTTCAGATCCTTATATCTTCTTTCAGTTTCATTCTACTTCTTTGTGAGGCCTTAACACACAATTACTCCTCTGTAAGGAACGCTCTCTGCTATGGATTGAATGTGTCCCCCAAAGTTTGTGTGTTGGAAACAATCTGCAATGCAACCATGTTGAGAGGTAGGACCTTGAAGAGGTGATTAGGTCATGAGTGTTCTGCCCTCATAAATGAATTAGTGCTGTTATCACAGGAATAGATGTGTAACTACAAAAATGGATTTGTTATGAAAGAAAGTTAGGCCATCTCATGTGTGCATGCTCTGTCACCAAGTGATGCCTTCCACCATGTTATGACACAGCAAGAAGGGGCTCACCAGATGTGTTCCCCAATCTTGGACTTCCCAGCTTCCAGAACATGGACAAAATAAACTTCCATTGTTTATAAATTACCCAGTCTGTAGTATTCTGTTATAACAGCACAAAAGAGAATAACACACTCTCTCACTCCCGACCTTGCCCTGGGTAATTCTTCACATCCGTCAGACATCAGCTTGAAAGTCACTTTCTCCCCAGGGAAGCCTCTCATCTATCTGGCTAGTTCAAATCATCTGATATATCTCTACTTGATGGCACTTGTCAGGGTTTCAATTTTACATGAATATGTCTGCTTTTTTATTAATATCTTTTTATCCCCAAAAGAAGATAAGTTTCTGAAAAGTGAGCACAATTTCTAATTTTGTTCTTCTAGCATACTGATTGGCAAATGAAAGATGGCTGATAAACATTCATTAAAAAATTGAATGAGCAAGCTGACAAGGGAGCCACGTTTTTCTACCACTGTGGCTGCAAATGAAAAGCGAAAATATAATCATAACTTGCCATGCACCAGGTACTGTGCAAAGAGGTATAACAAATATTTACATGGCATTTCCTTTGTATTACATATTATAAGTAATCTAGCAACGAATTAAAGCATGCACAAGGATGTGCATAGGTTATATGCAAATACTATGCCATTTCACATAAGGGACTTGAGCATCCTTGGATTTTGGTGCCAGGGGGGTATCCTGAAACCAATGCCTGTGGATACTGAGAGACAACAGTACTCACGCACATACATAACACACCAACACAACTTCTCCCTCTAAGTGATAATTCAAATCCTATATCAGCAATTTTAAAGTACTGTCTGCCAATCCCTGTCAAGATACAATTTATTTTACTTGTAGTATGTGTCACATTTACATATTTTATTTTTTATTTAAAGTTTTATAATAATATTAAAACCATATTTGTCTTTTCAATTCTGTCGACATTTGCACCGATGATGCAAAAACAATGGGATAAAAGTGCTGGTGCCATCATATGAATCAACTCCATGGCACCAGACTATACTAGCAGTCATTATATTCTCCACCATTATGCACTCTCAGTATAAAAAGAAACAAAAATGTAGTTTAACTTAAAAATGTCCTCGATAAACAGTAAAGCTTATGAAGTTTATAAAATCTTGACCCTGAACACACAAATTTTTAATAATCTATAAAGAAACAGGAAGAATGCATTAAGCGCTGCTGCTGCATTCCAAAGTACCATGGTTGCCTCATGAAAAAGTACTTTACATTGCAAGGTAAAGCAGCTGAATTTTTCACAAAAGATCATTTTAGTTGAAAGTATGATGGGAAAACATATAGGGTCATACAGACCTGACTATTTGTCAGATATTACCTCAAACATTAATGACATGAATGTATCATTTCATAGAAAACACCTGAGAGTATTTATTGCCAGTGATAAAATTTGAGTTGCAAATGAAACAATTTTTGTAAACTTGTGTCCGTCACTGTGAGCGTAACAGATTCCCAAGGCATTCCTGATGAAATCAGTGATGATGTTAGCATTACATTGTGGTATTTTAAAATGAAATATGTCAACATTTGGAAGATCTGTATAACTCAGTAGATAACTGTTTTCCAAATAAGCAATACATGATGTTACAAAACTATGCATGAGAAAAAGATACATTCAAAGTGAAGGACAGACCAATAGATTTTAATGCAGCAGTGAAATAAAAGTTCATTTCAGTGGTTTCAAATTCTACATTATATCTAACTTTAAAGAACCTATTATACGTTGAATATGGAGGCAAATCAGAGAAGAATATCCATAATCACTCAAAAACTCTTTAAAATTATCCTCCCTTTTCAACTATAGATCTGTAAGAGGCCAGATTTTCTTCATACACTTCAACCAAAACACAACACATCACAACAGAGTGAATGTAAATGCAGATATGACAATACCTATATTTTATCAGGCCAGAGATTAAAGAGATTTTTTTAAAAGTAGAACACTGCACTCTTATCACTAAATTTATTTTGTTTTAGAAAATATACCTATTTTCATAAAAATATGTTAAGATGAAATAGAAGACTCCTAGGCATGAGAAATTTGAGAAGATGCCGTTTAAGAAAAGAGGAGAGACTGTTAATGGTGGGTGACTAATACAGCAGAGGCTGCAGGCTACTGACAAATATCTTTCCTTGTCCTCCTCCTTCTTTGCTAATAGAACCTAATTATATAGTGTAGTAATGTACTCAAGCAAGCAAAACATTTCCTAGCCTCCATTGCAAGAGTATGACATAAATTGAAAGCTCTCAACTGTCGTAAGTGGTATGTCTATCTCATAATGTTTGTGTACGCACTAAATAGATAATGCATGTACTTGGCATATAGGAGGTAAATGGATGTTATTCTTGTTGATATTGTTGTTATTATTCTATTCTACCATTAAACTTCAAAACTGCTGTAAATTCCTTGGGCTAAGTTTCAGAATGTCAGAATAAAATTGAAATAACTCCTTTCGTATTCAGATCTTTGTGTGGCAGAATCTGCTCTTAAAATGTTTTACTCTAAGCAAAACATGAAAACTAACCAACTATACCTATACCACTTAACTTTCTGAGTGCAGGCTTTCTCACGTAAAAGATACAAATCTAAAGAGAAATGCTCTGAAAAATATTAAACATCATACAATATTACCATCAATGGGTTTTACTCATAATTACTGCCTAAACATATAGCTCAAAACTCAATTGATCCTGATCCTGATCATCTCTCATTAGATCTGTGAATGAAAAGGAGACCAATTTAGCATGGCTTTATAATGAATTGATAAAGAA